CAAAAACTGAGGGGAAAAGAAAAAAAAAGCAGGTACTGCAAGAGGACAACAGGAATATTTTAAACACTAAGAACTCAGCTGCGAACTTACAGACTTAAAATTTAATTTGCTGGGAACACTTTATCTTTTCATGAAACAAAGTGTCTCTATTAAAAAAAAAAACAAAAAACTTTGTTTTGTCACGCCCTCTGCTACTTGTAGCCAAACTAACAATCTGAATAATTTGCCCATACTTTGTTTTAGCACAGTGTGAGATACTATCACATTCACTGCTATAAACAAAAGCAATTTCTTATTTTTCCCACCAGACAGAAGCAGTATCAGTGAAAGCAGGGACTACGCATTTTATAACATCTATTTTTGTCTTGGTCAAGAGGATGAGCTGAAGAGCTGCTGGAGGGCAAAGGATTATAAAAGCACAACCAGGCTCCTGGGAGAGTCCTGAAAATAGTTCTGCAGTGTTCATGGAAGATGTATATCAACACCACTTTTACACGGCTTAGGCAAAAGAACACAAGTTGAAAGAAGCTTAACCAGGAACAGATGTTTCCCTTCACACCAGGCTATTTAAAATACAGTATATGCTAATTTTTACCATTTCTTGTTATATATATACTTACAAAATGTTAACAGAATGCACTTTAATAAATATTGTCACAGTAGATCACAAACAGCTGAACCATTGATGCTGAGTTTTAACTTTCACTTCGTGACCATATCTATTTCTAAGATCCAAACACTTCAACAAAATTAAAATAGAGCTCTGCTCGCACTGAAAACATGCAGAAAACAAAGCAGTCAGCTAAGTGTGCGGAGATGGTTTTCATTACAATGTGCCGAAGAAATAAATGTTGTATTGTTCTTTTGCACATGCCCTTGAGAGTGAAGGTTTTGGGGAGAGATTTTTTTGGTTTAAGGATGGAATTGATTTAAAAAGAAGTTGAGATCACATTGAGATAAGTAATCCTTCTAGGTAATAAACAATACTCCAAAGGGGTCGTTTTCTAGACACAGAAGTAAATCCAAATTTTATTCATCTGAAGAACGGTCCTGTGGCCAATATTACAGATCCACTTTTCCCCTTTCTATCTTTTACTGCCACCGGCGCTGACTAAATTCTATGTAATACACGTGCTATTATGGACATATTTGTACTGACACATCTCCAGACTTCCATGTCTCCTTGTCCTTTCATAGTTGGGTGCTGAAGAGAGTTCTACAACTCACAAGTTGAGTGTGCAAAACTCTCACACGATGTATATCACAGACACTGTGGATGTGTAGAAGTGCTTTGTTTTGATCACAGAAAACAAATGCTCGTTCTGATGCTCTTAAACATTTAGCAAGGAAGTTAAAACCTGGGCTGAATCATTCCCCTGACTAGGAATACCTATGGAAAGATCTATAAAGCTCTTGATGGCTTCGAATCCATATCAGCATTTTATGTCTATTGTATGCAAGAAAGTATTCCAGTCTTCGATACGGAAAAAAATAGCCTCATTTATGACTCATGCAAAGAAGGGACAAAGCAGCAGGGAAAGGTCCCTCTCTGGTCACAGACACAGGCAAGATGACTGTATTTGGGTCTCAGTTAAGAAAGATGGATTTTAATCCATGCTTTTCTCTGCTTATCATACTTCGGGAAGAAGAATGAGTCCATAGAGACAAGAAACATGAATTCTGCAGTGGGATTAAACTGAAAGAATTAAGCATTCAAAAATGTTCTTCTGATGGAGCATTATTAGCTTGTGGTAATAATGGGCTTTGTATCAAAGGAGATAAAAATGTGCTTCCTAAATTCTAACAAGTCGAAGCTGGGCAGAAACAGCACAGAAACCACTTTCTAAGCATTCACTAACATCCCAAAGACATGAACGTAAGAATAAAAATCTTCTGCTCGTTACAGTAATTCTGGAGAGTGTAACTCAGATTGATGTGCAAAGCAAAGGTCGTGAGAAACATATTTGGCATTCGCATATGCTACATATCCAAAATAACTCTTTCCTTGGGATGTCAGCCTGGCTTCTCCTTTCCTTGCTTGTCTCAGCACATTGAGGAGAACATTTTCAGAAGGAAAAAGATGAAAGAATACCCATAAACAGAGAGCAACTAACGGAGCAATTAAAGGCTATCCTATTTTACACAAGATGCAAATCAAAATAAGAAATCTTGGAAGGAACATTTATGACTTGCAACCACTTCAGAGTCACCTCAGTCACGGTGACTAGTAGTTCAGAAGTTTAGCTTCACTCATGAAAAGGCAGAGGAAGAATCTTTAATCTCTGTGTGCTTTGCCTGAAAGCAAAAGAAAGGAGTGCTGAGGCCAGCGTGCCATCAGTGTACATATGCAATGGCTGGATTATTTCTTCCTTTGCCAGAGGAAAAAATACGTAACAAACAAATCATGCAAGTGAATGAGCCCTTTAGGACGTGCTGAGCAGTCAGCCGTCCCCAAAACTAGAACCACATTGATATGAATGAGCAAACATCACATGGTTACGTAAGTATGATTTTAAGGTACAGGAAAAGCAATGTTTTGTCCCCAGTACTTAACCATCTCTTGTCTTCCACAGCTTTGCCTGGTCGGAAACCCTAACAGTAGCTAAAATGCACCAAAAAGTGTCAAGAGTTTGGCCAGGGTTCCACACACAGAAGGTTCTTGCAGGCAGAATGCACATGTGAGTCAAGAGCCTGCTATGGCATTTTTTAATAGTTTATAATCAAGGCAGTATTCTGGTAATTTCTTTCTCTAGATAAAGTAATTTTTTTACTCCTAAACATTTACAGGTAGCTACAGAAGAGGGAAAAAAAGCGATCACCTGTGCTATATGCCACTGTAAGTTGTTTTGTGCTTGCCAGAAGCAAGCCATTAATATTCAATATGATTCAAGGCATTTGCAATGCAGCAAAAAATCAACCGAGAAAAGAAGTTATCAAAACTGTATCCTTGTTCAAACTCCATATTAATGATACCTGTTCAGCAGTCCATAATATAATTAATCATATCAAGTTTCTCAGGGTATACGATATTTTTCTAGCAAATTCACAGTTGGAGAAAAAAAAAAAGACTTTTTTTTTTTTTTAAATATGGGGGTCCTTCCTGATACCTTTTTAAAAATGCAGCAAATTGCAATGCAGTAAAATGGTAAACCTGTAAATAGCTAAGATGGTACAATTCCTTTTAATGAAAAGGTCCATGATCAAGTATTTGACTATTCATTGAAAAGACACTACTAACTTCAGCTGCATTCCACAGTTCAAGAAGAATTACACGGTTGTTCTTTTCTGAAAGTAAGAAACTGCCCTAACAGCTTTTTGCTCCTACTTTCTTTGAAGAACTTCCCTTACTTTTTATTTTGTTTGTAAACATGTTTTATTTGCCCTTAAAAGCAATGGAAATTTTTGTTGCTCTGACAAATTAGTTAATATGACAATTAATTCCTACTCCCAAACAAATCCTGTATCCCGAGTTAGATTTACATAAAAGTATCAAGACTTTCACAGTATCTTTAATCAAATCTAGACAGTGACATTGCACACGCTTGACAGCAACAGCTTCAAAGAACTTCAATTCCTCTACATCAAATAACATCTGAGGATGAGCGACATTCTCAGTCTACGAAGAAACAGTATATAAATTTTTTTAGCTATTAAAATTTAAATGATTACATTTCAAAAAGGCACCTTTATAACCCAATATTCCAATAGTTTCTATCAAAAGAAAGATTTCTATGTCTAGAAAAGTGCTCTAAAGAGACTCAGAATTGAGTATTTATGGAAATCGGTTGACTCCTGGATCATCATTTGATTCATGTTAGCCACAGTCTCTCTGAAGATAAAAATGGAAAGAATTATTCTATTAGAATGATGTAAAATCTTACTACTAGTTGTGACAGATAAGCCCAAAAAAACTGAAGAACCAAATTAAACACCTGGAAACTCATACACAAGCATTTATACCTAACTGTGAACAGACTGAAATAATCCAAGACAGCGTAAGAATAAAAGTGTAATAACAATAAACAACAGTCTGATGCAGATTCAAACTATCCCAAAGAAGAAAATGTTTTGAAAAATTCAGTTTTCCTCCAAGTATGACAATGACCGGATGGGCATATCTCATTTTATCTTTAATCCAGTTTGTACGATTAGCAGTAAAAAGGAAGGATTGAACATCAATGCAGGCTGGCAAGCTGAGTCCTTAGCAAATTTGTATAGCCCATGCTGCAGTTTACTCTGCAAAATGTTCTTTATTGTTATCATTGCTGAATTAAAGCTAGGAGAGGAAACCTACTGTGACTATGTAAACATAGCATTGCTGGGTTTTATGGTTTTATAATGTGTAATACACATTACAGCAGAATTGGGAAGATGAAAAAAGAACTGCCTTCTCTAAAATCAACATATCCTGCTTATTTCAAATTTGGCAGAATATTACTTTATCAAAAATAATATTAAAAGTAAGTAACAAATAAAGAATTTCAGGGTTATCTTCAAATTCTCCAACATATATAAGTTTGTTGAAATCAACCCCATTTTGGATGGAAAAAGAGCTTTAGTTCGAAAGTGCCATCTCTAATTGCTAATTTCAGGTGATGCTGAAACCAAACCCAGATAACCTGGGGGATTCTGGGAGTTAATAAGAATTTTAACCCACAGGATATTTTGACACTAAAATGGAAATACTAAACATTGCTTCAGCTTAAAATGTGTACACTGTTACAGAACTGTCTTCAACACTGATAAATTAGTTCATTATCATCTGTGATAGGTTACTCTCTGGTGATACTGCTAACAATTTCCCTATAATAATATGATTAATAATTTGTTTCTCTGGTAAGCATAATTGCTATTCAGACACACAAATTCACAAAAGAACACCAATTTCCAAGTACACAAGATGTTCATGTATTCCCATTGACAGATTGACAAAGCTAGCAGCAGTAATTATAGTGCAAATAAAAGCATAACATATTTTCTAGGGTTTTTTTTTTACTCACTTTCTTAATAAAATCAGGTATATCCTTTTTGTCTGAAAGTTGATTTAAAGAGGAGCAGCACTCTACCTCCAAGATATATCCTTCACTAGGGACATCACCTTTTGGAGATCTGAAGAGACAGAACAAAAAGACAACAATTTCTCTTGTTAAAATTGGATATCTAGGAATCTTTTTTTAATAAAAATTTCTCACGTTCAAACACCATTTTGGTTCCATCACATTCAGTCCTTTGAAACAGTTCTGACAACCACAGTGTCTCACCAATTTCCCAGGGAAGGAAATCACATCTGTGACTGCTGTGCAATACCACAGGGATTCCCAAATTTCTTTATTTTTCCAAAGCACATTTTGTCTATCCATCATTTACAGCCAACAGTGTGGAAATGCACAGTACATGAACCTCAGAACATGGGGAAAGTAGGATCTAATACAACCAGCTGCGAGATGCCCATCAGAGCAGCCCAAACCACCTGCTTTCTTATACACTATTCCATGTATTCCATTCTTATACTCTTATTCCATTCTAAGGGATAGAAGTGACTAACCTACAAGATGTAGAATGAGCTCTAGGGGTAGTAACTAAAGAAATACTCTCATCCAACATCATTCAGAGGCCAATGTTTAAAAATTGGGGGCTTATCTATGCAATCAATCCTTCAGTCTTACCTCATCCTTTACTGCTGAGAAACACAAAGTGTCTACAATTCTTTCCCTTTTAGAAGACACTAACTCCTGAACTAATTAAAAGCATATGGCATCTGTCATATGGATTGGTGAACAAAGAAAAGTGCCGTGAAAGTATGATATTGGCCAAAACATGGCCGCAGGCAAGTTTGGAAGTTATCCTGGGTGATTTTGAGAAACACTCCACAGACTTACACTGCAAGCAGTGCTACAGAAGGCAGTTTTAACCCCCTCCAGGCTCCCACGCAAGGAAATTACTGTTCTTGATCAACGCGGGAAATCTAGAGAACCATTTGTCTTATGAGTTCCTTAGGAAAACACATAGAGGAAAGTGTGAAAAGGAAATGTTAGCCTATAATTCTTGAGGAAAGTAATGAAGTAGTTATATTAGCATTCTGTATGGAGCACGAAAAGGCCTCATTCAATAAAGCACCAATTCTGGACAGCAGTCACTTCATGTATGGAGTAGATGCCAGGCAGGAAAAAGGTGCAAGACCTAAGTGTGAACCGAGACTCAGCCGAGGAAGCAGCAAAGCAACAGAGCAAGGTTTTGCAATCCTTTCTAGCAAAAGCATTTTGGAGCCAGAAACGGACTCTTCTGAGCAGGGAGATGGCGTGACATGCGCTACGTGTGCCAACCGCCGACGGTGCCAGGGGCTTTCCCGAGCACAACATGAGCCGTTGCTCAGGGGCAGCCGCGGTGCGTGGGCTGCCGAGCAGCTCGTTTCCTCAGCCCTGCTGGGGCTCTTACACCGTGGCGGCTTCCTAGGCCGCGCTGCAGGGACCGGCTACGGCTCTCACATGGCGGTGGCTTCCTAGGCCACGCCGCCGAGACAGGCTACAGCTCTCACATGGCGGCGGCTTTTGGACTTGATCCCCCCGCCTGCAGACAGGCAGTAGCGCCACGTGGTTTCTGTTCTGCAGACTGAGAATGGTCCAGGAACACCAAGGCCAGATTTCTACATTACTTTTTCTCCCCTGCTTTTTAGCTTCTTCTCACAATTTGTGGTTCTTTTTTTTTCTAGAGGCTGACTAGCGAATCTTAACAAAACATGCTGTGCATGGAAACTTTCCAAACAGCTTTCTAGGTTTTACCTACATCATTACTGAGGGTCAAACAGTATCCCATGGCAACCTCTCTAATAGGGAGTACAGAGCTTTATTTAACCAAAAAAACCCAAGCTTTTGCAGAGAAAAAAAAAATTATGATGGACAGCACATGAGCTGCAGGCTCTTCTAGATAAAATCTAGATTAAAAACATAAATAAAGATTGTAGAATAAAATTTTATCTTCTAGATAAAATACTGGATGTGATAATGTATTCTGTGCAGAACTTCCATCACAGATTACTCTTCAATAAGGTGAAAACACACTTAAAGCCTCCCTGCTACATTACCTAGTGTTATAGCTGATTTTTTCCCTAAAAACTGAGTAATACTAATTGAAAGTACACCCCTGAGGTTATCTAACCATCTTCCACATAGGAATAAACATGAGCTAAGGCTATACAATGCTCTACCAGTCAAAAAAAAGTCGAAACACATACTTTATATTGCAATGCAAAGTCCATACGACATCAAATTAAGCAAACAGTTCTCTAGTGCCTCAGCTGTTTGATTATTACACACCAAGCGTTTTTATTTTTCAGAGACAACACCTAAGCCTTTAAAATCATGAGGACTGAAGATCTCCCAGGGCCTTCCACGGATGCTTCACTCAGCTCCTTCACTGGGAAACCCAACTCAGGTTGCCTGAGGAAGACAGACTCCCAGACATGTTGATATAACACTGCTTACAGTCAAAGATATAATGCTACTTAGATTCAAAGTTACAACATCAAGTCACAAAACTGAAGTATGTGCTAAGTTATCCAAAATTATCCATGTTTATTTAAAGGGAGGCCCATTAACGAGAAAAATGGAACATATCCAGAGGCAAAATTCTTCCTGGAACCTTCTTCACATAGCGGTCAGGCACAGCCCCCATGCAAATGACACTGTTTTAAAATACTTTTGTGGCAAATATAAAATCTTAATATTTTAATTGCTGCAAAAGAACAACAAGTAACATTTCCAAAAACATTGCTAATCTGTTTAAACAAACTCTTTCCAAGCTCCATTGCTAAGACTGATACACAAATACTGGTAAGAGGGAAGTTGTCTCTTTCCCAACCCCATTCCTTCACCTCAACAGCTCCCTGGACTCTTGATTTTGTGCAGTTTATCTGAAGATCTACTTCCAACTTCAGATTCTTTCCAAGGAATGAGTTATCTGAGATACAGTTTGGATGCATAAAAATACAGTAATTCTCACTGGAACTAGTTAAAACGACCTGTTTATTTTCGCCCCTTTAACAAGCACTTAACTTGAAATGTTTCTGCTCCTTGTAAATATTTAAGAGAACAGAAGATAGTGAATTCTTCCTGTAAGAGTCTGAGGGCTACCTCTGGTCTCAGCTCATGAAAGTAATTTTCAAATACCAGCGCAGTCTGCTAAGAACATTATTTTATAGAACATGCATACCAGATCTTGCTAAAGGCCATAAAGACTTGAGTTAGCCTCAAATAGAACTACCGTATATTACCAAAAGCTGGGTTTTTTTCCATGCTTTCAAGTAAAATATGTTCGTATACGTTAATTTCTTTTTCATATATGCAGGTCTTTGTCTACATTGTTAGTTTTTATCTCTTTAGGAAAAACTCAGAGCCTTCTGTCAAAAACAAACAAAACAAAAGCCATAGCTTTCCATGTAAAAGTAGTAAATTGTATTAGATTTCATAGACCACAAAAATAATTTTCTGAGCTAATCCAGGTGGGCAAGAAATTCTTTCCAGCCTCAGTGTGTAACACATAGTGCTTTTCATTTAAGAATCATAAAGCTTTCCATAAATATCTTAAAACTTTCTCATTATACTTTTTGAGTATTATTAGCATATCTATATTAGAAGTAGCTACATTAGGTACAGGTAAGTCCTAAAATGAGTAGACATTACTACATTATTGGTTTTGTAAATTTAAATTTAAGGTCTACTTTCATCAGAGATAGTGAATTAAGACCCCAAGATGAGGCACATTTACCATGATCACACATGTAAAAGGAGGAGGTAAAAGCCAAGTCTCCTGCAGGTCTCCCGATTTCAGTCTTGTCCTGTAGTCCCTGTACACCCTTATTTTCTTCTGATGAAGGACTGATGTTGATCATATATGAAATAATCTACATGTTGGAGTCTCTCAATTACTTTGTAGCACAAGAAGCTCCTGGGTGTTCAATGTGTAAAAAACTTCAAAATTAAAGCAGTGGTTTTAATTAAAATTCATTTCCATCTTCCTATCACAAAATATTTCTCAATAGGAAGAGAAATGCTGAGATTAGCTTATATAAGTCTCAATAATTTGAAAGGTTTTCCTTCTCTCCTCCATGTACACTTAGCAATAAAGTATCTCCTGGGGTTTTGATTTACCCTAGATTGCAAAACTGAGCCTTCCGTGTCTCCAAACACTGGATTTTATTGCCTTCATTCCCCTAATAAAAAAAAATCCCCGAGTTAATTAAAAATGGCTCCACTTTGAAAGAAGCACACCTGGGTACAGCGATGCCACGTACTGCCTAGAACCTAGGACTAATAAGACGGCTCGTATGTGAAAACCTGGGCTCGGGCTCCTTAAAATGGGTTTCATGGTGCTCCTGAGGCCAATCCATGGCCCCAGGAGGGGATAACCTTTGGCTAAGCACAGGCGCCTTGGAGGAGTTTTCACTGTACCTCTTACTCCCTGGACCTCCAGTATTTTTTTTTCCTTTTGTACATCTTGTTATTTGTTCTCCTTTACCGATTTTATGGAAAAAGGGGTTTCTGTCACTGGAAACACAACAGTCTTCAGTCTGGAATGGCAAGTATCTGAGAGGTCAGTCATGCCACCCTAGCACCATCTGTAGCAAGGACCCTAAAACATCACTTATACACAAAGGGCTGAGGACAACTGCCTTAAAAAAATCAACCGCCTTGGATCTTAACTGGGACCTATAGCACCCCTAAAGAAGAAGGAAATACACACACACACACACACAAAAAAAAAAGATTATCGCTTATAATTGGAAGTCCACTGGCCAAAAATACTTTACGACTGTTGTTGCAGTAGGTTGTCATTTCCTGTACAGCTGCTTGCAGTTAAGCACCATTTCATGGTAGATAAACCATTACCAGCTGCAGAGCACCAGTAACTTGGCCGTTAGCTCTTCAAGCCGGCAGCTTAGTGTCGTCCAACAAACTGGAATTCTAATCCTTTTCAGACAGAGGAAGGAAAAAGGAAGCCAATATATAGCCTTCGTTTTCCAAGTTCTCCATATTCGTGAATTCTAAATGCCAAAACAACACTTGTAAACTGAGGATACACTCTAATGATTATTTGATTAAAATTATGTTAGA